TGTGTGTGTGTGTGTGTGTGTGTTTGCAGATGCTGCTGGAGGACAAACATGAAACATGGCTCTCCTGAGAAAAAGTAAGTAAAAACTGATTTATAGTTTGTGCCGACATCAGTTTACATGAGTTTACTAAAGAGAAAATATGTGTTCATGTCTGTCCACGTACAGCAGCGCTAACGAGGTCGGCACTTTGCTTGTGGTTTAACACTCACACTTCGACTATAGAGTGAGCTTTGTTGAAGTGAGGTTTAGTTGGTGAAGCAGTAAAGGAACCCTTGGCTTCTTTCTTGGGATGGTAACAGGAAAGTTTCCAGTTTGCTTGCATGTGCACCAAATGTGCATGCGTGTGCTGGGGGAGGGCATGATGAGGCAACCAGATGACAGGCTGTCAGGGGTTAGAGTTCGTGATTCCATTCTGTGATAAACGCTGGACTGAATGCAAAACACTGGTTTTGAGTTTGCTTCCAAAATGATCCAAAACAAAAAAGACAAATGTTTTAAATGAGAGCTATTAGAGAAACAGTTGTTTTCATTAAAAAAAAACAACTTTACTTTAATTGTCCTTGAACACGTACTGCCTTTTGTCTGGTGAAAACTTATCATGAGAAAGATCAGTTTATAAGAATCCTAAAAAACGATCCTAATGTGTCTCGAAAAGCACATCTGTGCAGGTCTTGATTTGGGTCAAATTCTTCAGAGTGAAACTTCTTCGCAGATAGGATATTGTCCAGGGTTAGTAATGGCCCCTGGATCAGCAGCCAGAAAACTTTTAAATGGTTTCAGGTGGATGTTTGATCTTCTTTCCCTCTTGTCTGCCTGGCAGCTGGTGGACACACTCAAACGCTGGAGAGGAAACACAATGTGCATCTCTGTGGCTCTGGGAGAGAGATGCAGCAAACACAGGCCTGTTTTAATGCAAACATTTAGTGCTCAAGTAATGTAACAGTCAATCAACAGAAGTTCCTTCAGCAGTGATTCAGTGGTGCTCCGATTCTATCACAGAAAAATATTTAAATTATGTTTCTAGCTTGGAGTTTAAGAAGATATATATATATACACACATATATGTTTAATCTGCAATCTAAAGTAAAATCAGCACTTTGGTTGAACTGCAACATGTTAATAAATTAGGATCCGAGCTGCCGGTAGTTGTTTTAAAAATTGGAAAGAGCTGAGCAAAATGTTGCCCCTGCTCCAAATTTTCATGTCAGGAACACCTTGAGGGAATTTCTTCAAATTCTCCACAAATTCAGATAAATTCAAGAAGGAAGTGATTAGATCTTGGTGGTCAAAGGTCAAAGGTCAATATCATTGTTACCTAATGTCTGCCCTCATCTTGTGGATGTGACTTCCAGTATCAGGAACGTCTTGAGGGCTTCTCATTACATCTGGCCTCTAAACGCAATAATTGCAGTTGAATACTATTTGACATTGTCTGATTCAAGCGATTCAAAACTTGTTGAGACATTTGTTGAGTCAGTCTTGTTATCACTCTGAGTCACACTGTGTGTTTATGTGTTGTTCTTCCTCCCTGCCTGGGGGTGGCGTTGTTTCCCCTGCTCTGTGTCTCAGGCTCGGCAGGGGATTGGAGGATGGCCTGATGGAGCTCACCTTAAAAAGCTCACCTGACGATCTCCGGTTGTCTTTGTCTTTTCTCCAGCTTGCGATGTTGTCAGAAACCTGTCTGCTCTATATGTTGTTGACTGATCGTTATGGGGTGTGTTGTGTTTGGTTGATTGTTCGGAGCAGTCCTGATTAGTTGAAGGGAAGAGAAGCCTTTTTGTTTTGTACCTTTTCTTCTGTTTGTTTAGGCAGGTGACATCCCTGCATTTTCTTTTCGTCTCTTTTCGAAGTAGGGAAGTCAGTTTGCTGTTACAGATTGTTGTCTTTATTTCGTCTGTGCTCTTCCTGAAGTTTTTGTTTCCTAATGGATTTATAAAAAGAAATCTCAATTGTTTGAGCTGCATAATCCACGTGGCACTGCCATGTATGTTATGCTATGTTGGCTCTTAATTCTGGGGTAGCTTATATATATGACCCACTGTTGCTTATATTTAAATTTCTTTGGAAATATCTGAAATAAATAAATACACACTGAGATAAATGTTTGAATCTGATTGCATGAATCTGTCCCTGGGTTTCAGTTAATCATGTCCTCCTGGTGCTGGTAGTCCTCATGTTGTGTCTGCTCCTGCACAACACACTGTACAGAGCCTCCACTCAGCCCAAACTCTCAGGTACATGCACACAGTTTTCATTCACACCCTTTATTTTTCATATGTGATCTCTTTCTGCATTTTGTGGACAGTTGCATTTATTTCATTTCATTTTAACAGTCACAGTTGTTGAATGAATAAAAAAGAGAAACCCAACCGGAGCAGTGTGCAGGCAGGAGGGGCCATGCATCCAAAGTGTCCCAGAGGTTGACTTCCAACCTACGCTGTCTGATTCCTCTCAGATCACTGGAGGAGCCATGGAAGCGCAGCAAGAGGTCCTGCACTGAAAGTACCAGAGGCAGATAAAGTCATCCCTGTCATCATCTGCGCATCAGAGGAGCGAATGGGTGGAACCATGGCTACTATCAACAGCATCCGCAGCAACACAGAGGCCAGCGTCTTCTTCTATATCGTGACCTTCCGAGATGCTGTGAAACTGACAAGGTCTGTTTTTTTAAAGGTGCAATGATGATTTTATATTTCAGGTGATGTGATATTTAAACTGTAAATGCATTGGGCAACTTAAATTGTCCTTAATATGAAGCGGATCTGATATCCCTTTGTGTGCGTGCGTGTGTGTGTGATCTGAATTAAAAAAAAAGAAAATCAGTAGTGAATTTAAATGTGGTTTCACGGTTGGGCCTTGGTGGAGGTATGCAGTCTGCTGAGTGCCATTCTGGTTTTGTTATTAGATCAATTTTTCATTTTGGCCTGGCTGGGGGTTCTCATTCCCTCTCCACTGTTATAGAAGAAACCCCACTCATCACGACCTTCGTGTATATCTACTTCTTCTTTCTTTCTTTGCCTCTCCGCAGGGAGTACATTGAGAAGACTAAACTGAAAGGCATCAGGTATAAGATACTGGAATTTAACCCCATGGTTCTAAGAGGAAAAGTGAAGCCAGATTCCTCTCGGCCTGAACTGTTACATCCAGTGAGTTGGGGGGGTTTGTTTTTGTTCATGCAGCAGAACAAACATTACACAGTTCTTGTGATGATGAAATTTGCTTTTCTGTCGCAGCTCAACTTTGTGCGCTTTTACTTACCCCTGCTCGACATCAACCACAAAAGAGTGATCTATTTGGATGATGATGTCATTGTGCAGGGTACGTATGCGTGATCATGCCTGAAGGAAAAGTTTAAAGTCGATGATCTCTCTCCTGGTGTGTTTAAAGACAAGCGTTGTGTTTGGAAGATTGACATGTGTCCGTATGAATAAGCAAATGTTGTTTATTTTGGAGGTTCAAACCCAGAAGGATAGCTCCTGCTTCACTGAGGCAGTGTGGGTACACAGGTGGTTTCAATAGCACACATTACACTTATATACCAAGAAAGTTAAAACCAAAGGCCACCAGGTTGACTATTACTGAATCTTTTATATCATACATCCAGTTACTGACTTTTTTATTGTAGAATAAGATGTTGAATTGAGACGTTTGAAGGTCTCCTGCACCAGTTTGATGATAAGCTGTGTATTTGATTTGATTTGATTTGATTTGATTTGATTTGTTAGGATCTTCGTGTGTTTCTGCCTTTTTATTCCAAGACATCCACTGGCTCATCAGACCTGGGTGTGTCCCTGATATGTTGGGGCCCAGTGGGGGCCTTTCCTCCTGATCCAGAGCCATTTATTTATTGCTGCTCTACTCTTGTTGGGACAGTGTATTTGTGTATGATGTCTTTTGCCACCTAATTTTCTTTTCTTGCTTTTCCAGGAAACATAAAGGATTTGTTTAACATCAAACTGAAGCCTGGACACGCTGCGGCTTTCGCCACAGACTGCGACCTGCCCTCCACGCATGAGATGGTGCGCAGCATTGGCATGCAGGTGGATTTTTATTCCTTTCTGTCTGATCGCTTTGTGCCTTGAACTGAAAATAAAACCATAAACAATGAAATCAGGACAAAAACAAAGTAATGGGTGCAAAAACTGAATGTGAGTTGCTTTGCTTGTTGTATTTGACTAGAAACAAAGTAGGAGTGTATAGATGTGTGGAGTAAAAGTGTATAAGTTGGTGTGTTTTGGAATTGTGATTATAATTCATTGAGAAAGGCGTTTCTCAGTTAACCTTTTCTTGCAACTGAAAATTCCTCCTCTCCTCTGAGCTCGTCTCCTAGACAACCTACATGGGCTTCCTGGACTACAGGAAACAGGAAGTCAAAGACCTGGCCATCAACCCCAGAGACTGCTCCTTCAACCCTGGAGTGTTTGTCGCAGACATCAGCGAGTGGAAGAAGCAAAAGATCACCAAACAGCTGGAGAGATGGATGGAGGAGAACTTCAGGTCAGATCTGGTGGGAATAAGGAGTTCGTTAGCATCAATGCAGCAGAACCATTCATTACAACTGTAAGATAGTAAGGAATCAAAATCAATCAAATTTTATTTGTATATTCACAACTCAAAATTTCTCATAGGGCTTAGCAAGATGCAACATCTTCTGTCCTTAACTTTCAACCAGAGTCCTGTTGTGATGATCATCTGTGATGACAAGAATAAAGGATGCACAGATGTACAGATAGATGATATATAATAATAGGAGCGGCCTGTACTACTGATTTAGCGCATATTCATTTGTCTTCAGGTGTGTGCTGACATGAGTCATGACCACAAACCCACCAAGAAGCAAAGTATGCTTCTACTTTCCAATCTTGCAACAATTTAAATGTATTTTTATATGTGTCAGATAATTCTAATATTTATTTTTACTTGTATTCCATGTATCAAGGTGTTGTATTATATGATATATATATATATATAAACCTGTCTGACCAGAAACTCTTCCCTTTCTCACCACCAGGCAGAACATATACAGCAGTGCCATGGCGGGAGGTGTGGCGACCCCACCCATGCTAATCGTCTTTCATGACAAATTCACAACACTAGATCCACTGTGGCACGTCAGGCACCTCGGTGAGATCATGTCTTTTTCATGCACAGAAGAGTTTCATGTGTTTTTAGCTAAGGTGTCTGGAATTTGGTTTTAATTAACTTTAAAGCCAAAAAAAGGTGATGCATTACCACGATTGACGGCTGAGATTGCTGCATGACTCAATGATTTTAAATAATAAATGTGTGAAATAACAATCAGTTAGCTCTTTATCTTTAATTTCTACATGGATTGCTCATTGTGTGATGACTTTTTCATGCATCGTTTAAATCAAATCACAGCACAGACAACAAAGCAAAGTGTATTACCTTCCAGTGTTGTCCAGGAGAGGGCAGCGAAGACCAGTCAAAATGAAATAGAAAATTTCCATTTAAATGTTCATTTGGCACACGCTTGAAGTAACTTAATTATTGCAGCATTTAATATAAAGATAGTTCAATTTTTAACAATGTAACTGTCACTGTCCACCAACTTCTACGTCCTTTACATTGGCACAGTTAAAAACATTGAACTGCTAAACTACCTGCCTCCCATGATTTCATGTGGACTGTGATTTTTGTTTCATGGAAAAACCTGTATGATTGAGTTCAAGTAATAGATACAGACCCAGAAGTTTCTCTGTAGACAAACACCCTTTACTTGAAATGTAATCTTGCCATCCCTGGTAGCCATCGTGGCTACCCACAAGCAGACATGGCTGTAGGGCTGCTGACACAAACTGATGATAGCCGTGACGGTTGGTCTTTTAAAGAAACAATCACGATCTGATAACAAATCATCTTCCGCTGAGCCATTAAGCTTATGTGCTGAGCTGGTATAGGCCAACTTTGTACTGAACTGAATGTACTGGACCAGCCACAGAACTGAATGAACCAAAGTCTGAATCAGCACAGAACACGCATTCGGTGCCGATGTGTTCCCTCCTGCAGGGACCAAGGTGCCTTTGAACGGTTATTCGTTCACCTTCTGTTTCAAAGAGAGAATCTGCTGTGAGGTGTAATGAGGTGAAGTAATACAACCTTGAATCCAGGCACAGAACTGAAAGAGATTATTCTAATCAATAGATAATCTGGTAATTACATTTTGAGTAATAATGTCAAGAGGTGACAAATGGGCTTATTATTTCTACTACGTAGAGAAACATATTATATTGTAGCACTACCCTCTGGTTAATTTTCAATTTGTGTCTGTTCAGGCTGGAGTCCAGATGCCCGCTATTCAGAGAGCTTCCTACAGGAGGCACATCTGCTGCACTGGAACGGCCCATTCAAACCCTGGAAGTATCCTGCCGTTCACTTGGATCTGTGGGAGAGGTGGTTCATCCCAGACCCCTCCGGACGATTCTCCTTGATACGACCTGATAGCGACAGCTGAGGTCTGTGGAACGTACCATGTCCGAGCCACAGGGGTGTGGGGCACGAAGTGCGTGAAGTTGACGGCTTCACTGCAGGGAGGGGAAGGAAGGGGTAATAGATAACAGACAGTGAATGTAATACTGAGGCATGCTGTTGAAAATGAAATGCGGTCAGTTGAACATTGTATAAGAAATTGTGTTTAAGCAACTGGGTGCCCCATGTATTGCTAAAGGCAAAAATTGTGACTTATCTGGTGTTAATAGATATCAGATGCAGGAATGTGTTCCAAGTGAAAAGATTTTTTTGTCTGTGTCAAATGTGTTGAGCTGCAGAAAATGTGCTTCCTTGATAACTTGAAATAAAATCTCAGAATTCTCACTTTTCTCATCTTTAATAGGTCATTAATACTTTAACTCTGGTATTGAAGTAAACATAATGTCCAGTTCCTACTGCGAGACGAGGATATATCGAAGATAAATTACTATAATGAACAAAGTTATAGGCTCCTTGACTTTGTTGAGTCAGGAAATGAATTCAAGCCAACTGTTGGTGAGCCAGCAAACAGTGCTTGTAGTCAACATGGCTGTCTTGATGGCTTTATTGGTCAGTCTGTTGGTCCATCACCTGAACAGCTGATTGTTTTTCAGAGACATTTTCTAGAGGTTCCCGGTGCCAAGAGGTTTTGATTGAAGAACAGTGTGTCTCAACAATGGTTGGTCACATTGTCATGAATCTGTGCAGAAACGTTGAAGAATTGAGCTGCTGCAAGTAAAGACCTGCACCAGGACAAAAAGCTGCTAACCTGTTTATTCAAAGTTCAGTAAAGCTCAGTTCACATTGTCATTTGAGCTTATTGATTTATTTTTTTTTTGCTTTCCTAATGAATGTCTTGTGAAACGGGCAGATGAAATAAGATTCTTGTTCTTTCTGCTCCTTTTTGTTCAAGATTTGAGATTTTGTGTTCGGTCGATGAATGGAATAAACGTATAAATAAAAAGTTAGCATTTGTCTCATAGCGCTGCAGCAGCTAGACACTCTTACTATTGTTTTTACACTGTAAAACAAATTCATCACAATACTTGATCTAGATCTGTGGAGGCTCTTTTGGCCTCTTTTAGTCTGTTGGTTTTTATTTTAAATCCTGTGTTATGAATTGATTTCATTTTATCACTTTTATTTCAAATCCACAGGTTTAAAAACCCATTCACTACTTATCTTAAAATGAGACAGAATCATATTCATAAATCAATTTTCCAACAAGTTGTAGATGTTAGACGTTATCCATTTAGAGGCGCCAGAGTAAATATCAAGATCGGCCGTGGGGCAAGTGGGTTTTCATTGGTGACGTCTCCAAGAGATTATATAGGAGTGAGTTACATAGGAGCTGTACATGCTCAGAATATGAGTATTTGTGATTGGCTGAAAAATAACAACCATTAAAAAAATGTATATAAATTATTACATTAAAGAGTCAATGGGCAAAATGCTAAAATGAAATTTGTATTATTGAATCTACTGCCTCCACAACCTCTATGTTTATAGCCTATAGTATTGGGTATTTGTTCTACAATGGCATATTTTCAAAATCATTTATCTTCAGTTTTCACTTTGTTGATTAATTTTTTAATGTTTATCCATTTGGTAATTGTGAGCATTTAATTCCTATGTAAAATGCTCTACTTTATTTTTGTCCTCACATTTCTATAGGAGTCTAAACCTACAGAATGATATTGACTATTAGTGAATATAGATAGCTTTGCTCTTGGATAGAATAGAATGCTCATGTACAGTTTTAGTTCCATTTTGCTACTTTTTAAAGTCACTGATCCCTGAATTGTCAAACACAAAAAAGGAATTTTCTCTCGGTTACTTGTATCTTATTGTGTGTGAGATAAATAATTGCCAGTGTATGAAGAATTTGAATTTGTTATATTAATTTAATACCTCAAACAAACTCAATCCCAAACAAACACTGAGTCTGTACAGTCAGTCTCTCACCGTGTGTCACTTCAAGACATTTTGTCCGTCTGACGTCACAGATTATGGTCTTAAATCTCAGCCTCGGTTTTATGTCAGTATTTTTCTCTCATATGAGTTAATTCAATTACTAATTAAATTAATACTTATGATATGTAGCTTCTGAGATGGAAATACTGTTGGCGCACAATTCACTTTTTGTTATTAGTCTGGGGAGTCCTCTCTTATGTTTATACATTCCAGGAATGTTGTTAATGACGTTATTCAAGTACGGCGTCATAGTCAAGCTGTTTTGACCATCCACTCTGTGTGTGTGTGTGTGAGAAAAGAGCTTTAAAGTATCATTCCCCTTTACCCCTCTTGGAATCTGTTGAAGGATTTTTGGACTTTGGGCCTGGCGTGCTTCAGAGGTGGAGGAGTGTGTGGTTTCACATCATCATGACATCTGAGTTCAAGTTCAAGTTGTTGTCGAGTGGTTGGACCGTTGTGCACCACCGCTCTGGTACATGCTAATAGACCAGGACGCCGCTCCATATCTAAAGAGGGAGTATGTAAAGATTATAATTTACATATTTCTCTCTCGCATAGCAAACTGACTGTATCTGTTGATTGAACTGATCGATATCACTAACTCCTATCGCCTGATTTTACAAAACTCCCCCTCTGAACGGCCCTCAGGTCAAGGCAAAACGCCTGCACTCTGTTGGTTCTAAAGCAATTATTGCACAGTTTAGGAAACACATGTTTGCTCTCTTGCCAAGAGTCAGATGAGAAGATCGACTGCACACGAATACATGAGGATACAGCCAGCAGCCGGCTTTGTGTAGAATAAAGAAGAATGAAGGCTCAAAACAAGACGGAGCAAACAGCTCTGTCCAAACGTAACAAAACCCACCAAGCTGCAGGTTTCACACGGAGTTCTGTACCAGACTGTTTCTCTGCCAGGTGCAAAGTCCAAACCTGGAGTATTGATGTGATTATTATCAATTACTGAATTATCAAGTTATTATGAGAATAAAAGATGTTTTGTCTGATCAGCTATTAGCACAAGATTTTTTTTGCAGAGATGTCTGAAGAAGCACCCTGTTGTCGATATTATGAGTCTGTGTTGGTGTGACTGTTTCTGAGTTTAATGTCTGCATGACGTCTAAATGAGACAACACATGACTGAGTTTCTCCCTTAAACCTGTAGTTAACACCTGAGTTTTCCTGGCAGTTCTCTATTACACAACAGACTGTTAGGTAACATCGGTACTCCTATTAGTCATGGGGAATAATGGGAATCAATAGCATTATTGTCTGTCAGATTGAATCTGAAACTGCTGATCAGAGATTGTCAGTGAGAACCATCTCTATAGTTATTATTTATTATCCTCAGAGTGGAGCCCAAACGAAGAGCTTTCAGTGAGCAGCAGCTCTGTGCTGATGGGAGAGGTCAAGGGAGAATGGCCAGTGTGGTTGGAGCTGACAGAAAAGCTGCAGCAACTCAGATAACCCCTCTTCATCTCGTCCAACATTGAGGCGGATGGTGCTGCAGGAGCAGAGACCACGTCAGGTTCCACTCTAGTCAGCTAAGAGGGGAAATTAAAGAGGCTGCAATGACGCAGATTCACTGACACTGGACACACGGGGACAGAAACCGTAGCCTGGTCTGATGAATCTGGTTTTCTGCTGAGGCTGCAGACGGCGTCACCATGGAGCCAACCTGACTTGGTGGTGTAATAGTGTTTTCTTGTATCTGCGTATTGTCACAGTGGATCCATATTCTAATGGCTAGTTCTAGAAAAACATGCCTCGTGTTACACGACACTGCGGCTGTAGGTCGACACCCTGCAGCCATGTGATGTCTAGTTTTTTGATGAGCTGGCTACATTGGCAGCTTTATTTGGTGTAATCATGTGCACCCATCATTAATGATATGTGTAGTCAGAGGTGTGTGATGCTGTGCCAGTGAGCACACCTAAAACAGTGACACATGTTGTAGTGAACACACCCAGAGGGGAGAGCGCCTGCATCTACTGTGAGTGATGGACGTTTGGACAAAACTGTATATAAAGAGAAGCCCAACAGTTCCCACAGTGTTACTCGTCACCATAGAGACAAACAGAGTCCTATCATCCAGGTCTGGTGTCAGTATGAGAGCATGGTTGTGGCCTGTGAGCTGTGAGGAGACTATGTGTAAAGCTGCACGTATGCTGTGTGTGTCTGTGTGTGTGTGTGTGTGAGAGAGAGAGAGAGAGAGAAAGAGAGAAGCATGGTGTGGAGTCACGTTTACCTTTGAGACTGCAGACATCACCGCCCTTCTCCACAAGTTTCCCACAGATTAGTTTCCACCACTCCGCTAAAGTCCAATGCCAATGTGAGTTTAGGGACAACACACACACACGTACACACAAATGCACACATAGTCTTTATTCTCTTATTGTCAGTAAGTCAAACAATTTGCTAATATATCCTATCAACTGACGTTAATTATCATGTGTGTATTTGCAGCCTGATGAATCACCAATATTTTAAATGGTTTTTTTTAAAGGTCCCACGTGTGCGAGCCATTGTTATGTTTACAAAATAAATCCAATAATCGCTCTCGAGTGATGAGATGGGGCGATCAGTTATGATAACTCACGAAGAAGGAAAGCGCAGATAGAAATAGAGGCAAAACAAAAGTTAACATTAGTGGAGGTGGCTCTTGGCAAGTAAAGGACCAAAGTGAGATGCTCAACGTGTAAACTGTGAGAATGCAAATCTCCCCTACAGCAAGATATCCTCTCCAGTATTCATCCCAAGCTTGTGGTTGAGTCGATTACATTTCATGTGTGAAAATGGCTTTAAAATACTATGGGGTAAGATAATGGGAAAAAACTAAATGTTAATAATTAAACATGAAAATAATAAACCACTGAGCAACACAAACACTTTGGTCAAGGTTTGAGAAATACTGGGGTGTAAGTAAACACGTGTTTCAGGTCATTCCAGCTTTTCATCAGTGGCTTGGAGAAGTAATTCCACTCGACTGTTTATACTGACCTCGACCTGGTGAATTTGGAATCACCAGAATTAAGAATCTTGACAGTGCTGACCTTCTAGGGAGCAAAAAACGTTATCATAGCTTGTTAGCTGTGTCACACCACTCATTGGTATTCTACCTCTTTTGGCTATAACAGACTCTGGCCAGGGCCAGTATGAAGTGGATTGCAGTCAGGGGGGAGGCATGTGCTTGATTGTAAGTTATATGAGTTATTTGTTGCCACATGAAACTAGTCATGGGATATCTGAATTCAAGTTGACAAAATATTTCCGCCAGTGTGTGGTAAATACATTTCTGTGAGCGTGGTTCCTACATAGTGGTTCCAGTGTGTGCCTGGAACATTTATGAGTATTATGCAATGCTTACTAAGACA